GCTGGCCGTAGCGCCCCAACAGTGAATTCCGCCCTCGCCTGGTGCAGTCGATTTGCTTTAACCTGCGCTGGGTGCGGACGTACAGCGAAGCACCGTCCGCCTGTGTCGGTGTAAGGCACCGCACCGCGAGCGCGCAGTGACCGCGGGTTGTTGTTGCAGGCGGTGGATAACCTGCTGCGGTGCGGGATTTGCTTCGATTACTTCAGCATTGCGATGATCATCCCGCAGTGTTCGCACAACTGTAAGTACAGCGTGAGGAGCGCAGCCGCTTCTCGCACTGGGGATGCTGCGTGTACCTGTCTGGGTGTTGCAGGACTCGCCCCATGCTGCCGTCTCCTGTGCTCGCTCCGTGGGCACTGAGCTCACAGAGGTCAATGCGAAGACTGTTGCTTCCTCTTCCTTGTAAATCTGTGCCCCCTGTCCTGTGATTGAAGTATTTTATGGAGGGCCAGTTCATACATCACTGTTGACTTGGTGGCTGCAGTTTAAGTTTACCCAAGTTTTAATAAAAACCACACAGAAAGAGCAGTTTTAATAAAAATTGCTGGAGTAGGAGCCAAGGTAAATGGGGCATTTGTGGCAAGTCAGTGAAGGGGTGGTGAAGTCGTTCTTCCCTCTATCTTGTGGCTTTGTGGAGTTCAGAATTAATGTATTTTGTGTAAGTCCACCTTGCCATACGTTCCAGGGAGTACAGGCTTGCTGTGGTGGGTGACTGTCTTGGCCCTGTGACTGTTTAAGCCTGACTTCTCATTCAGTTGACAGCTTATGCAGATGGTTCAGGGCTGAAGAAGGTGCCCTCAAATTATTAGGTCTTCATACCTCTTTCCCAGGAAACACAAGACTGGAGAATGATCTTGTGGGCCCTGTGGGCTGACAAAATCCTCTTGTCCCTTAGCTGAGTGACAGACAACTGTTGAAAAATGTCCTCAGAGAAGAGTTTTCTCCTTTAGAGTTTCAGAGACAAGTCATCACTTGACCATTTATTATTTACTGGCATGTAGAGCAGAGATTACTGATCCTTTATTGCCTTTAGAAAACACAGAGCTATTCTACTTGCAGCTTAGCAAGGACATTTGCTTCCGAGGAGCTCTTTTGGATGAAAGCTGGGAAGCAGCCAGCAGCCTTCCTCATGCAGTTATGGCTGCAGCCTTCTGACAGCACAAACACATGTTGTCTGGATTAATGCACTTAAACACCACCTCTTCCTACGATTCTTCATTTAAATAACTTTCATAACCTCTTGAGGGCAGAACAAAATGCAAAGCTATGTGGCAGAGAGCATTAAGTGTTATGAGCTAAAATTTTCCGTGGTGCTCTGTCTGCCTCAGGCTGATGTCTGCCGGGATGTGGCAGTGAAGCAGTACACTGCCTTTTCTCAGGTTAAAACAAATTGTTAGAATTGTTTTGTTCAGACACTATAGCACTTCCTCCTCCTTACATGAAGGAGGACATTGTAGTTCGGCAATGACGTTTAGTTTAGTTTGGCAAAACTATCACCATTGAAAGCAGCATATTGATGGTGGGGCGCACTGGAAGTTCTCAAGAGTAGGTGGCATTACAGCTTGCCTGTGGCACAGCTGGGTTCACAGGCCTGTGATTACAAAAAGAATCATTTACTGAGACAAAATGAAGCTTATGACCTAATTCACCCGAGTCTCCTGAAGCATCCTCTGACAATGATACAACTTGCTTTTCCCGGGAAACATTTAAGCTGTCTCTCGGTGTTCTGGTGCTGTTTCCCATCCTTCTTAGCCTTTTCCCTCAACAACAGGTTGGTATTGTTTTGGAAAGAGGATGAAACACCTCAGAAAAAGAGGAATAGGGCATTTGTCTGGGGCTGTGCACAAAGATGAGACTGATCCAACATCAGTCATGTCAAAAAAACCCCAAGCAGTGGTGGGGGAGTGAGCAGTGCAGACACTGCTTTCAGTGGTGGGAGCTGGCTAAGGCTTTCTTGCCTTGTGTTAAAGAAACAAAAGTAAACGTCTGCTTTTGACAGAGGGACTGAGATTAAACACTGACGGATGCTTGCATAAAATAAGACAGTTTTTTTCTACAATGGTAATCTTAATTCTATGGGGAAATGGTGTATTTTCAATATTGGTGTGTTGTTGGAATAGTTTGCATGTACTGTACAAAAGGAAAATATACTAGTAAGGACGTTGAGCTGCATTTGGAAGAACGATCATTTAAAAATGACACTGTTTCCTTTTTTTCCAGACTGTTCTCTCTGCATACGCAAGTTTCTGTCCTACAAAACTCAGTGTCCAACTTGCTGCGTGGTGAGTGTTTTTCTCAGCGAGTTTTTAGTTTATTTTTTGGCGAGTCTCGGGACCTGGTCACGTGTCTCCACCTTCCCTGTTGGAGCAGGCGCTCGTACGACCGGAGCTCCCCTGTGTCACAGCTTCTCTGTCAGCACAGACAGAAGTAGACGGAGCATCGAGCGTGGGGTTTGGCTCAGAGCTGTCTATCCAATCTGTTATGCAGTGTTTAATGTTTCCTCCCGATTTGTTAAAATGCACCATCATTAAAGCATGAGCACTGAAATTTAAGCACTTGGATTGTCCATGGTTGAGTGGCCTCACTTCATCCTTCAAGGATTTAGAAGTGCGGACACAGCACTGAGTCCTAAAAAACCTCCCTGACCGCTGTGTGGCCTTTCTGGGCAGAGAGGTCTGTGCTACGTACCTGGGAGAGGAGGAGTTTGCCATGGGAATTGGGTCAAATGGAGAAAGCACCACAGGTTCTGCCTGCTCTGCAGTGGGCGATTTTTATGATCTGTATTGAAGGCCTTTTTTGATTAAAGAACACAGAATGCAATTTATTCTAGGCCTTAATCTAATGTCTCGTCTTTGTCCAGTTGGGCTTTATTGAACTCCTTAAAATGGTAGGCTGCCTGAAAACAATGAATGGCGCTTCAGAAATATTGGCAAAACGGGAGTAATTTTCTTCTGTGTTTCTAGATGACTTTTCAAGACTGGAAAACAGATCAATTTGTAGCCTTGCCAGTTTTTAAACGTTCAAACAAGTGCAGGCTACTTGATGTACATTTCTGGGTAGTACATTTTGCTACTGCCTTCTTAAAAACCACAGGTATTGATATGAGAAAGATGAATAAAAGCCTTGTGAAAAAGAAGAGCTGAGAGAGACAACCAGAGAGATAAAAATCAGAAACCGTTTAAAAAGAATGAATTCAATTCCCAAAGCCATCTCATATTTAATATTTTAATTCTATAATCACTGAAAATGTTAACATTTCCCTTCATCAGTTGTCATGCCTTTTTGCTTCAGGTTCTTATCACATTCATGGGATCCGTGGTTTGGTTTTCGTAATAATTAGAATGGGGCTACGTAAAGCATTGTTGGAGGCTGGGTATGCTGGGTGTTGTTGCTTTAGCTTTATGTTTCATTTTTATCCATTACCCATAGTTTCCCTGACTTACATTAGTTTGAGGTATTTTTCAGGAAAAACTGTTCACACTTCATGCATCTTCATTCACGGAGCAATTTCGCCCAGTGGCAGTTGAGGCATCGGTCCAAGAAACAAATTATTGATCTCTTGAACATTTTCTGGGTACTTGTTGTTTTCACTGCATTTGAATGTTTCTTGCGTTTTGGGTTTTTTTTTACCTTTTCTTCCTTTCTTTTTTTTTATAGGCAGTCTCGGAGTCGGACCTGAAAAACAACCGGGCACTGGATGAACTAGTGAAGAGCTTTAACTCTGCGAGGTACGGTGTAATTTTACTGATGCAGCCTCTGGTTTGGCACCGGCAAGGGCCGGCATGACGGCCTGCGTGTGGCCAGGCCAGGAGTCCCCGCAGAGGAGCAGAGCGAGGAGCAGTGTGAGATTGTGCTGTCGCAGAGGTGGTGTCAGAGACAAACGCTTATGCTTTTGGGAAAAATCCTACAGCTTTCTGGCTGAAAGCTGCAGTGCACTCAGGTGGTGTGTTGGGGTTGTGTGAGCTGTTCTGGTTTTGGTTCTGGTTGGCTGCTGTGGAGGTTGCAGTCTCTTCTGACACATAGGAAGTCAAGCAGGTGTGTTGGGTCTCTGTGGGGAAAATAATGATAATAATGATAATAATAATAAAGATTTTCTTCTCAGAGCCTTCCTATGTGTGCAGGAGAAATCCTGAACAGAAAGATTTTGCCCAGTGGTAATGGTCTACTTGCAAGAGAATTCTCTTGGTGAAGTCATTGGATGGGAAAAATGTAGGTACGGAGGGACCAGAGATGTGAGTGTTCCTGGATAAGAAAAGCAATGGAGTATTGTGCTTTCACCTGCATTTCTTATCATCTTTTCTGTTCGTTTTTAATTCGTTTTTGAGAGGAACAACAGAATAAGCATGACTTGGTAAATGCTTAGCTCTGTTGATACATGAGATTTATTGTATTATCTCTGTTTTCTTTTAGTTAGAAGCAGCTCTGTGATGTGCTAGATATTCCGCAGGTATTCCTGTGTCTATGGGAGACAAATACACTCATTTTTTTCTCTCTGAAATGAACTTGGAGCTGAAGTTAATGAGATTCTTGGCTTCATAAGTGATAGGAAGCACAGTTCAGTTCATGGCTTTGTTTCTTGTGAGAGTTTCTCTGTGATGAAGAGCTAATCTTCTGTATGACCACTATTAGACTGAATCGATTTTGTTTGAAGAATTGAAATTCTACGGCTCCATTATTTTAGCTTGAACTCTGGTGTTTCCTAGTGATAAATGGATTACTATTTCTTTTGGTAATGTCTAATGTAGCAGGGAACAAGTAGTGCTGACTTGGATCCATTATGATATTGAATCTTAAACGTTAAATTTTGTTGACTGCTTTAATGGATCAGTATAAATCTTACCAGTCAGATCAGTTTAATAATCCTTCTCTTTGTGACTTGGAGTTCAATCAGTTTCTCCACACAGAGTCAGATCAATGTAACAGAAACGGTGGTGTCCTGCTCTGCACCAGCTGGGGCTGAGGTGCCAGTGCACGCTGCTTCTTGATCTCGGTAAGAAAGGCCCAACACAAACGCCTTACTAAGGGAATGCTTTCATGAGGCACAGTAATGAGAGGGATGTAGACAGCGAATAAATCTTGTGTGGCTTCAGGTGCTGCGTGCCCCCTGTTCATGCTCCTCTCAGCCTGGGGTTGCATTCACTCTGCAGTTGGTGCCGAGTTCAGGGGAACGCTGCTTGCCTGGGGAGCGTTATGGGACGGGAGCGTCAGTAAAGCCTAAGAGCAGTGTTGTTTTCTGTCCCAGTGATGTTGGTACAAGACAAATCTTCTGTCTCCTCTCCTCCTTCCCCAAGTTTCCTTCCCCAAAACAAATTTGAAGTCCAGGGGTTGATTTTTGAAACATGCGAAGCTCTTCAGGTCCATCCTGACTCGCCTTGAGCCTCAGGTAGTTCAGCGATTATGAAAATCAGGCCTTAAATCTTCTCAGCACAATGCACACACATTTCTTAAGTCAGGCCTGCAGGGAAAGAAAATGTTAATGGTGGTGGTACTGCACGAGGTAAGAGCTGCGCTCCAGGGTCAGTGTGTGTGTGGAATGGAAATCACTGAGCAGACCTGACCTCTCCATCATCAGCAATACTTCTATCACTTGCAATGAGACCAGTGTCTCAAAAAGTAAGTGTTAAGTATGTTGGGGTTGTTTTGAAATTAAGTCCTCTGATAAAGAGACTGTTTTGATGAAAGCTGTCAGCTTCTGCATCACCTAGTTAGAAAGTTTAGCAATAGAAGTTGGAGTTATACTTGCATAAGTAGAAAATTAGTCCCTGCTGAAAATGATCCATGGCTTTTTTGTACAGGGAAGAAGATGTTTATACTTTCAAATTTATATGTTACTTTCCTAATCAGGGTTACTCGCCAGCTGGTGAGTCAGAGGAACAAACATATCCCCTCCGAGCACTGGGGAGAGCAGGTACTGCCATTACTAATCCACTGACTACACGTCCAGGAGGGATTTCAAGGAGAAAAATTGCCCTCTGGCTCAGTTTGGACTGTTCCCCACGAGATTCACAGCCCCGTCTCTTCCCTGGCATTTATTTACGTGCAGGCACTACATTCTCACCCACTTTGCTTCGCAGCCGCTTCGGCAAGGGAGAAGTAAATGGACCATAAAATGGGAACCGGGGTCTTGATGAAGGAGGACAATGAAATCTTTTAGGCAGGTCCTGCAGATCTGAAGAAAAAAAACAAACTGTTGCAAGATGTTTATCCATCGTTATTAAAGCATTCCTGGCAGGGAGAGTGTGCTGTGTACAGTGCATTAAGATGAGTGTTCATTTCGAGTTCAACGAACAGAACAGTGGCTCCCTGCCCTACCCCAAGCCAGCGATTGAAGAGGATGGGTCTCTGAGGAGGACTTGGGTAGTGGTTGTAGCATTTTGCTGGGGCTCCCTGACACCTTGGTGATTCATCTTGCAGCCTTTGAAGGGTGCAGCTTGTGCTCTTAAACTGAGGTTTGTCACCTGGGACCATTACTGCTCTTGTGCCAGGGAGGTAAAATCCTAACTGCTAAAACCTGCCAGAGTTTAGAGCAGTCTGTGTGAGATTCTCAAGAGCATATAATAGATAATGGTGAAAACTGCATGCTAAACACAGAGCTTTTTGGAAACAGCGTTGTCCTCAGGCTTCCCAGCAGAACCAGTTTCCAGGTGAGCTGGACAGTCTGGTGGACTGGGAGGGCAGGGTGGATGGGCTGCTTTCTCTGGACTCTGCTGTCTGTCTCTGGATGACGATGGATGATGGTGGATCTTCAGGGCGGTCACGCTTGTCCCAGCCACTCCATAACAACGGTCAGAATTCCTGTGAACAATGGAAATTTGAGTGGTTTGCTCTGGTGCTGAGGGAGGGCAGTGGCACTTGGCAGTGGTGCTGTGGGAGCCCGCAGTGCCCTGGCTCTTTCATCCCCGAGGTGCCCGGCTTTGGGGTGCAGGGTGAGGAGGTGCCAGCCCAGCAGGACCACTGGGTGTCATCACGTGGCCAGTGGAGCCCCGGGGCCCAAAATACCCCATTCTGGGAAAAACCAGTCTGGGACTTTTCTCTCTTGAACTTAGCACTGGTATTTTCTGTATTTTCCCACCAAAATAAAAAAGCGTACAGAGATTTCATGTGTGTTTTGGCAAGCAGGTTTTCATGTCCTTGTCCTAGTGTTCTTTCCATTGATTCTGTGCCAAAATTGGATCCCTTCGGAAAGTCTGTTCCTAAGTTGTAATCCTTCAATATGAGGAAAAGCTCTGCGTGATTATTTGTAGACCAATGGTGTAATTAAAACAACCTTTAATATCGAGTTGTTTTTAGGATAGGGTTTGGTATTTGTATGAAGGTGAAGACAATGAATACATGCAACTAGCTAACTGTGCAGACATTTTTGCCTTTTGGGGCTGTACAGTTCTTTACTTCATGGGAAAACTAAACTGATACTTTACCAAATGACTGTGTTTCTGGGTGTGCTTTATGCTGTCTGAGCCATGCAGTGTTTAGCTTGCTGTCGCATGGGATGCTGGGCTCTTGTGTAAAGATGGTTGCTTAACAGCCGATATAATTTGGTGAGACTGCGTTGACTTCGATCGGCTGCTTTAACGGCGGGCTGCCTGTATGAAAACCTGGGGGAGTTTGAAGAAATAGATGGGTTTTTACACAGTCAAAAGATAAACTGCTTGTTCAAAAACAGGAAAAAAGTTTTTAAACAAGTCCATTTTTTGGTCGAACACCCACCTGCGTCCTTTTGAGGACCGAACCTTGCCTAAGTGTATTAGGAATAAAAGGCAACTGGTTTGTTGGCTGTTGAACCCGACTGTAGATTATAATGACCTGTGATGGGACGAGGCTCCAGGGAACTTGTTTGTAGAGATGGACGCACTGACAGTTCCTAATTAGTTGTTGTTCTTAGACGTGAAAAATCTTTACCAGGAGCGGCTGAGGGAGCTGGGTCTCTTTAGTTTGCAGAAGAGGAGACTGAGGGGAGACCTCATTCATGTTTATAAATATTTAAAGGGTGAGTGTCATGAGGATGGAGCCAGGCTCTTCTCGGTGACAAACAATGATAGGACAAGGGGTAACGGACACAAGCTGGAACACAGGAGGTTCCACTGAAATTGGAGAAGAAACTTCTTCTCAGTGAGGGTGACAGAGCACTGGCCCAGGCTGCCCAGAGAGGTTGTGGAGTCTCCTTCTCTGCAGACATTCAAAACCCGCCTGGACGCCTTCCTGTGTAACCTCATCTGGGTGTTCCTGCTCTGGCAGGGGGATTGGACTGGGTGAGCTTTGGAGGTCCCTTCCAATCCCTAACGGTCTGGGATTCTGTGATTCCTTAAGACTGAAATGTGTTCTGGGTAGCTACCCAATACTGGAATGTCCTCAGCTGTAAAACCTGAGAGTGCAGCTGCGTGTCAGAAAAGCGCTGTAAGAAATCATTCTATGACAGTGCATGTTCTGTAGGTACATCACCCACGGTGTTTTTTACGTTTTAATGCAAAATTTACAGAAAAGGAACAGTAATCCAAATTATTTCCACTGTTGTTTGTCCTTCCCGAGTTAAAAACTCCACAAGCTGAGGACCCACAGCTGTTCTGCTTTCACAGGCTTTATCACCTCAGGTGCAGTGAGTTGTGTCACAAAAAAAGCTGCGAAGCCGTGGCATTTAAATAAAGAGCACGCACTTGCTGAACAACAGCAGGAGTCAAAATCCTGGTGCTTGAACGGGTTTGTGTTTCAGGTGGGAGGAGGAGGGCTCTTTGGTGTTCTAGCCTTTTTTGTGGTCTGGGGGCCGTGTGTTTGTGTCCGAGGGACACAACGCATCCCGTGTAATTAGTGGTGCACAATTAGTGGTGAAGGCCAAGGTGTGCGGGCAGGCCGGGCAGGCACAGCGCTCTGCTCTATCCCTGCCAAGGGTGCAGCCTCTGGCTTAATTTGTCTTAGATCAAGCTGTATAAAACGCACTGTAAAATAAACAGGATTCTGAAAAAAAAAAACCCTGGGGCGGGAGTAGGAATCAAACACGTCCTTAAGATCTTGGCAATAGCCTCAGCAGAACAACTGTGACTTTGTAATTCTTCATATTAGCTCAAAGCTAAGAGTAGTGAGACAGAGGGGAGAACGAGCCTTCTGCTGCTGCCGTGTTTCTGCTGATAAAACAAGTTTATTTTTTTGGAAGGAGACTTCTGTTTAACTCACGTCTTGGCAGTTGCTAGCCCTGAGGAGGCTTGGAGTCCAGCTGGGGGTAAAGCATGTGTAGGTGGGTGGTGAGACTGGAGCGGCAGTTCTTGAGAATTGTTATGTTTTCCCCTTATTTTATATGAGAAAAGGATGGAGGGTTTGCGCTCTTGCTGTTTGTCAATTAAATGTGACGGGAATCGTTCTGGTTACCTGATGCTAAATCTCAGGGGCTGACAGGCCCGTGGCTGTCTCCTGGTGCTGGGCAGAGAGTGGCCGTGCTG